GTATATAGTATAAGGATTATTCAGAGAAGTTTAAAAAAAGAGGGAAAAATTATTATTTTATTAACTACAAGCAAATAATTTTGACACTTTGGTCTATTTCCTTGAACTTGTTTCACCTATAAGACCAATTTAGCCTAAAAAGAAAATGTTAAAGTTTTAAATATCCATACAAAATTAACAACCTACAGTTTTTCATTATATCACATCTGATAATAAGCATGGTGCAGATGAAACAGCATGCACTGCAAAATCATCAAACATGGGCTAAAATCCAGACTCTGCGACTCTTTACATGATACCTGCTCTTTAAAATCTCACTTAGTGGCATTTTCCCCTCTGCAGAATGTTAGTGCCGGCTACCTCCTGTTTCTACTGCCAGGATTAAAATGTACGAAAACAACGCATATTGAGCTTAAGGAAAATAAGCATTAGCTGTTTTCTAGTATTACCCAGAACTTTTCATGTAGAAGCAGCTAATTTCTAAAAATAAGAGGTGAGAAAGTGGCACAATTAAGAAAAAGAGAAGAAACAATGGCTACATCTAGGGCTAGAAAATCTGCACAAAAACATACCTTGAAAATCTGAAGTCAAGGAGACTCCAGCATTTCTGAAATATTATAAAGCACTTTATATTATTCCTGAATTAAATGTTTTTCTAAAAAAGTTTTAAAGTATGCTGGGCACCTGTCACTCAGTGGTTAGGGTGCTGGCCACATGCTCCAGGCCTGCTAAACAAACAAACAACAACAAAAAAACAGCTGGGCGTTGGGGCTGGTGCCTGTACTCCCAGCTACTCAGGAGGCTGAGCCAAGAGAATTGCTTGAGCCCAAGAGGTTGAGTTGAAGTGAGCTAAGATGCCACGGCATTCTACTGAGGGTGACCAATTGAGACTCTGACTCAAAAAAAAAAAAGTTTTAAAGTTTTAAGTTCTTTATAAAAGTATTGAGTATAAATAACCAAAACTTTAATGACAGAATTTGTAGTTTCTTGAAAGCTAACTTAAAGTTAGGCAAGGTTTTTTTTTTTTTTTTTTAAACCAACCATAGATTATTCTTTTTTCTATTTTTTTTGCAGTTTTTGGTTGGGGCTGGGTTTGAACCCACCACCTCCGGCATATGGGGCCAGCGCCCTACTCCTTTGAGCCACAGGCACCGCCCATAGATTATTCTTTTCATAACTTTGTAAGAATTACACACGATTATGTTTAAGATTAGGTTAGTTTCACATACAAACGAGTAAAAGGAGACTAGAATTGCTTTTATTGCTCTGCTTTTAGGTTCTGATATGTTTTAGTAAAGTCTAAGTTTTGTGGCAACAGCTTCAGAGAGGCAGTGTGGTAGATTACCCTGGCTTAGGCAAAAGACCTGGGTTTTTTTCATATTATAGCTCTGACCATTGGTAGGTATGTGTCTTTAGATAAATCACAACCCATTGATTATCTTTGTTTGCTGTGGTAAGCATCTAGTATTAATGTAACACAAGAATCAAGTACTGGCTGTCTTTAGCCAGGGGAACTAGGTGGCCAGGAGTCCAGGAGGAAGTGGACTTTCACTGTTCCTTTTATACCATATGAAGTTTATACACATACAAGTATTAATTAAAGAGGCTATTAAGTTTCAGGACACATTCAGGGATATAAAAACCTTCAGATTTCTAAGCTGCCTTCAGTTTTATTTTTTTTAATACTTTGTTTTCAGCTATTGCTACATTTTCTTCTAATGTTTCATAGAATTAGTGATTTTTAAACCAAGTACATATTTTACTGAAAAACCAATTTTTTTTATTTTTGGAGAGTCTCACTTTGTCACCTTCAGTGGAGTGCTGTGGCGTCATACCTCCTAGCAATCTCAAATTTTCAGGCTCAAGCAATTCTCTTGCCTCAGCCTTCCGAATAGCTGGGACTATAGGCGCCTGCCACAACACCCAGCTCTTTTTTCTTTTTTAAGAGATGAGGTCTCACTCTGGCTCAGAATGGTCTTGAACTTGTGAGCTCAGGCAATCCACCTCCCTTGGCTTCCCAGAGTGCTAGGATTACAGGCATGAGCCACTATCCCCAGCCTTGAAAAACCATTTTTAAAAACTCCCACTGGGGGATCAGTGCCTGTGGCTCAAGTGGCTAAGGTGCCAGCCACATACACCTAAGGTGGTGGGTTCGAATCCAGCCTGGGCCCGCCAAAACAACAATGACAGCTGCAACCAAAAAAAATAGCCAGGCGCTGTGGCGGGCACTTGTGGTCCCAGCTACTTGGGAGGCTGAGGCAGGAGACTCGCTTGAGCCCAGGAATTGGAGGTTGCTGTGAGCTGTGATACCACAGCACTCTACCCAGGGGGATAGCTTGAGGCTCTGTCTCAAAACACACACACACAAACTCCCACTGGGGCCGGGTGCAGTGGCTCACACCTGCAATCCTAGCACTCTGGGAGGCTGTAGCAGGTGGACTGCCTGAGCTCACAAGTTCAAGGGCAGCCTGAGCACAAAGCAAGACCCCATCTCTACTAAAAAAATGCAGAAAAACTGAAGCAAGAGGATCTTTTGAGCCCAAGAGTTAGAGGTTACTGTGAGCTATGATGCTATAGCACTCTACCCTGGGCGACAGCTTGAGACTCTGTCTTAAAAAATACCATAAACAACAACAACAACAACCTCCTTCCACAAGGCAATACTGGTATATCCTGTTGTACAAACTCTAAGATTATATGCTATTGTTCAGATAACACCACCCTCGGTAAATGGTGATGCATCCCCATGCTTTCTTACCCCATTGCTCTTCAGACCAACATTGTCTGTGACTCCAGGAGTGCTTTAATAGAGCATAGCTAACTTTCACTGCAATTGTATCTTATCAGTCAGTTCATGCAGCTGCCCTTATCCATGAGGTATGCACTATTAACAATGATTAAATCTACTGGGAAATTTCTGACATGCATGTAAGTGACAGCTACATTGATTTCTATTAAAGAGCTACCTTATCTTCACTAACCAGACAATTTTGCTACTATTTAAATTACAAGTTTCACTGCTGCATTATCATTTTGTATACATTGTTTAAATATCTATTTCCCTCAACAAGATCATGAACTCACTAAAGTCATTGCAATTGGTTGGTATTCATCTGAAACAAACGGAATTATGAAAAAATACTATACTGACAAAGACAAGAATACATCTTTTAATATTTAAAAATTTTTGACGGATAATTAAACAAACCCCCTTTAAAGGAGATCACCCAAAGTACCCCAATAACATCAGACATTAATAAGTTTTACACATCCATGAGCATCTCCTATGTATTCTAACAATTTGAGAGAAGTATCGTCTCCATTTTGAAGATGAGGAATCCAACTTTAAGGAAAGTAAAGAAACATACTCAAGGTCACACAATGTGTCAGAGTCAAAATGAAAACTTAGGACTGTTGAACTCTGTAAGGTCCAAGTTTTTTCTGTACATGTAAAATGTGCAAAGGAAAATTTTCTTTAATCTATAAATCAAATGGCTTGACTGATAACAGAAAATGTTGGAGAGAAAGGACAGCTGCATGGACAGTATTCATAGTTTTTTTTTTTTTTGAGACAGAGCCTCAAGCTGTCCCACTGGGTAGAGTGCTGTGGCATCACAGCTCACAGCAACCTCCAACTCCTGGGCTCAAGCGAGTCTCCTGCCTCAGCCTCCCAAGTAGCTGGGACCACAGGCGCACACAACACCCGGCTATTTTTTGGTTGCAGCCCTCATTGTTGTTTTGGTGGGCCTGGGCTGGATTTGAACCCGCCACCTTAGGTGTATGTGGCTGGTGCCTTAGCCACTTGAGCCACAGGCACCAAGCCACCATTCATAGTTTTAAAGTCCCATGGTAACATAGATGTTACTATATATAGCTAAAGCATTTTATAGCTATAGTGCTTATGCTGAGATTCTTCTTACACTATTCTGGATAGTACTACACTGAAATCTCATCATGGTTTATTAACGTAGAGACGAATATTATTAGAGTTCATCTTGAACCTCATACTTTACTCTGATGATATTCAAGTTACTTGGACAAAAAAATTACAAATCACTCTATAAAAAAACAGTGATGTACAAATTAAAATTAGGTTACTCAAAAAGCATCATGTCAGGACATCTTTGCTCTTGTGGGAATCAACAGTAGGTAATTTTTCCAAAAATTTCACGTTCATTTTGAACCAATCACTCTTCCTCTTCACTAAAATACAAACCTAAGTGTTTAGCAAGCTGACGTGGAGCCCTGGTACTAAAAACAATGCTTTTAAAAATGCCACCACCGTAAGAACACCACGGTTTGTACGTGTGCTTGCAACTTTTTACAATGAAGTAGATTGAAAGACGATAGAGAAATCACAACGGAAGAGTCTGACGTAGGTCGTAACATAAGGCTGATTGAAACTGGAAGGTAGTATCACAAAAACTCATCAAAATTATCAAAGATAAATGAAAGAGCATCACTGTGACGGTTCCATCAGACAATGGTCTACCAATATGGAGAAAACGGAGTCACGGAGAACCACAAACTTAACGGCCAAGGTCTTAGCAGAGACTACAGGACCAAATAAAGTATTCAACAAAAGAGTTTAGTTCTCTTTTTTGAATCTAAATATGCACTTCTGTAAACCTGAGTGAGCTCTAAACACAAGTTACTTTTTTTCTCAAAGGATATGTAGACAGAGTTGAAAAGAATAAACTTTAATGTACCCTACACCTCCAGGGACCGAAGATAAATAACTGGAACCGAAATTATGTCTTTCCTCCTTTACGTACACATTTTAACAAGGTGAGGGCACCGAGGATGCGAAGATCAGAGGTTCGAAAAGATCCCGTTTTATTTCTCTCCAGAGAAGATGCCCCCAGTAGTCTCTAACCCGGGTCCAAGAATGGGCTGGATCCGTTCGGAGACCCAGCTATGGCTGCCCGGGAGGAGACGCCGGAGGGCAGAGCAAGAGCCGGCCTGCGAGGCCAGGCAGCGGCCGCCGTCCCCGCACTCACCTCCCGGAGCGCAGCTTCACTGGGGCTGTCGAGTAACCGCCGCCATCACCGTCGCCGTCACTCCGGGCGCTCGCGGAAGCGGAGAGGGGAGGCCCAGCCATCCCTGCCCCTCGCGCGGGTCCTACCAGGCGGAGGCCTCTCTGCACCTCCCACCCTCCCCTCAGCGATCCGTCCGCATCTCAGGAGTCGCCGTCATCGCCTCCGCCCGCTTCCAGGAGCCACCACCACTTCCGCGTCCAGGTCCTTCCCTTCCCCCACCCCCTTCCGTAGCCAACCCCTCCTCCACGCGAAGGGGGCGCAGTGACGCCACCGCTCTGCGACGGCCGTCGGGACCCGCGCCGGGGGGCGTGGCGGCGCAGGCGCAGTGCGGCGAACGCGCTGGAGCGCGGGAAGAGGCTGCGCGTGGGCACCCGCAGGTCTTCCCTCAGCCGGGGGACTCGGTCACCTGGGCGAGTCTTCGCTGTCGCTGCCGGCGCCCACCGAGAAGCGTATTCCCTTCCCAGGTTGTCGTCTGACGGACCTTCTGCCTTATTCTGCTGGTGCCGCTTGGGTAGGGGCGCGGGGAGGAGACCCCGCGGCGTTTCTCTCGGTTGGAATAAGACGAGCTTTCAGGAGACGTTGAGGCGGGAGAGATGCCGGCCGCTCAGAAGCCCATGCGGTACGGGCACACGGAGGGGCACACGGACGTCTGCTTTGACGACTCCGGGAGGTAAGCGTCCCCGAAAGCGGAAGGGACGAGTCGGGCGCGTCGCAGGTAGAGAAGAGTGACGATAACGTCCGAAGCGGCAAGTACATTTCCCCAGACTTACTGTTTGGTACAGACCGGTGGGAATCTTCCGGAGCAGCGGGAAGGCGCGGGTCCCCCTTCTCTGAGTCTCGCAGGGATGTTGTCGGGTCACTGCATCCTGCCTACCTGTCAGACACAGCAGCCTGTTCTCTTGGGTATGGTGTCCTCCCAGGCTTTAGTGATGCCATTTCCTTGTTTTGCTTTTTTTTTTTTTTTTTAAACTTTATGGCTTTTTAAAACTTATTTTCCTCTGCTTGATTGCTAAACAGTGGTATTTTCCTGGTCGCTTTCACCCTGCACACCCATTCTTGTGTAGTACTGTCTAGTCGGTTAGGGTTAGTCACACATTTATTCTTTATTTTGTTATTAATATTTTTTGAGACAGTTTCATTTTCTTGCCCCCGGTAGAGTACTGTGTGTCATAACTCACAGCAACCTCAAACTCTTGGGCTCAAGCTATCCTCTTGCCATAGCCTCTGATGTTCTTTCTTTTCTCCTCCGTTTATCGGTGGCAGGTCAGGAATTATATGTCAGCTATTTGCTAGGAAAGGGATTGCAGAGAATAGGGAGCAGCGAATGCTGTCTAAATGGCCTGGATTTTTTTGTGTTTTGTTTGTTTTGAGACAGTGTCTCACTCTGTCACCCTGGATGGAGTGCTATGGCTTCATAGCTCACAGCAACCTCAAACTCCTGGGCTCAAGTGATCTTGCCTCAGCCTCCCAAGAAGCTGGGACTACAGATGCACACCACAATGCCTGGCTTTTTATTTATTTATTTATTTAGAGACAAGGTCTCACTCTTGCTCAAGCTGGTCTCAAACTTGAGCTCAAGCAATTCACCTGCTCTGGCCTCCCAGCGTGGCTGGGATTACAGGTCTGAGCCACCTCGTCCAGCCCTTACTTTATTATTTTAAAGCAAATCCCGTACATCTAATAACTAAAGTCTGTTTTTTGGCGGGGGGGGGGGAGTAGAAACTGTAACAGTGGTACAGAGACTCATGAATTTAAAAAAGAAGGCACAAGTAAAACAATATTAAGAATCGAAAAACTAAAGGCTTCAAAACATGTGGTTACGGAAACACCCTTATGCCAGTAACTTTGGAAATTTGAAAACAAATATAGTTTTCTAGAAATATGTACATTAGCACAGTTTACTTAAGAAAAACTAAAAATATTTCTTTATACTATATTAGTTTCTAAACATTAACATAAGTAGGTGTTGGTACCTGTTTACATACTTTAATAAGTTTTTTAGCCTGTCTCATAGTATTGCTATTTTTCTGAAAAATGTATTCTTTTAATAGTGTTACTTTTATTTTTCACATAAAATTAGTCTTCACAGTTACATATTATGTTGAATAAATTTGAAGTGAGATCATTAATTATTTCTTTTCTTTAGAATATAACATTTTTCACTGAGAAAAAAACGCATTAGGTATTCTAAGGTACTTGGCAAACTCTGCTAACTAGAAGGATCACAGTTTGCTTTATTGAAATAGTAAGTATTTTAGCTTTGGTATTTTTATGGGTTCTGTATTTTTTTCCCATTCAAATTTCCTTTATTATTTCTTATAGCATAACTGTGTACATTAATGCAATCATGGGGTACAGTGTGCTGTTTTCATATACATTTTGAAGTACTTTCATCAAACTGGTTAACATAACCTTCATGTCATTTTCTTAGTTATTGAGTTAAGACATTCATACTCTGCTTTTAGAAAGATTCACTTGTACCCTTAGAGTTGACCCCACCCATCACCCTCCCTCCTCCCATCCACCACCCCCCACCTCCCCTCGGGTTCTGTATTTTTATCTCCATTCAGAGTACCCTTCTTCAAGGATAACATCTTCAGTATTTTTTTTTTTCTTCTTGGAAAGAGAGTCTCACTTTGTCACCCTGGGTAGAATGCCATCCTGTCGTAGCTAACAGCAACCTCAAACTCTTGGGCTTAAGCAATTCTCTTGCCTCAGCCTCCCAAGTAGCTGAGGTGCCTGCCACAACGCTCGGCTATTTTTTTTGTTGTTGCAGTTGTCATTATTGTTTAGCTGGCTTGGGTTGGGTTCAAACCCCCCAGCCTCGGTGCATGTGGCGGGCACCATAATCACTGTGCTATGGGCGCCGAGCCAGTACTTGGTTTTTTATTAAATGGGTACTTGATATATGTATATATTTTTTAGCTCATTGCTACTGAATGGGTGTTATTGTTTTTTACCCCACAAATGTGAAAAGCATAACCAAACAATAAAATTAACATGTAGTTAGTTACTTGATACAGTAAGTGACAAAACCACTTAGGAAGAATGTTCAGACTACTTAAGTTCTTCAAAGAATTGGTTAACTTTGTTCTTGCCTATATTTCTCATTAATTTCACAGTAGCTTCCCACAGGCCCTGCCACCTGGCTTCTACAACTTTGTACATCTCCCTCATGCACCTGCCCATGGACCAAGTGGTCAGTAGGAGCAGCACCATGAAGCACTTCTCCCATCACTGCTGGAGCCTGAAAGAAGTAGCTGTCCCTAGGGGTTCCTGTCTGAATTCAGTTTGGTTTTTACCAGTAAATGCCTCCCATGTTATCCTTGAAAGGATGTGTTAATTGCATCAAGAAAGAGCTGGAGGCTCCTGGTCTCCCTGTCTCCGCGTCTCCGCCAGCCAGGTGCATGTGATTAATTCCGTTTGTTTCCATGTCCTCTCACAAGACTTTCAGAATCAAGCAATTTCTGGCCAAGAAGCCAAAACAAAACTGTTCCATTTCCCAGTGGATTTGAATGAAAACTGGTAATAAAATCAGGTACAACTGGAAGAGGAGACCCTGGAGAAGAACCCAGCTGGGTCCATGAGGAATCACACGGGAGATGGCACAGATTCATGCAATATCAAGGTCACCATCATCTCATCAAGCCGAAAATGTCATCAGTTGAACAGTTGGTCATGCTTCATTGGGCAAATAAGTTTTTGCTTTGTTTATATGCTCTTTTTAATAAGTTGGTTCAGTAATAAAAATGTGAGATCTTTTGTTTGGAAAGAAAAAAAAAAGAGAGTTGAAGCTCCAGCTAAGTGGCTCACTCACCCTTGTATCCTAGCAGAGGAAGGCAGAGGTAGAAGGATCTCCTGAGCTCAGGAGTTTAAGACTAGCCTGAGCAAGAGAGAGACCCCTCTCTACTAAACATAGAAAAAAATATATTCTTTTTTTTTTGAGACAGAGTCTCACTATGTCACCCTTGGTAGAGTGTGGTGGCATCACAGCTCATAGCAACCTCCAACTCTTGGGCTTAAGCAGTTCTCTTGCCTCAGCCTCCCAAGTAGCTGGGACTACAGGTGCCTGCCATGACAGCTAGCTATTTTTTGTTGTTGCAGTTGTCATTTAGCTGGCCCTAGGCTGGGTTCAAACCCACCTGCCTTGGTGCATGTGGCTGGCATTGTAACCACTATGCTACAGGCGCTGAGCCACAAAACATAGAATAATTAGCCAGCATGCTGGCACAGCTACTTGGGAAGCCGAGGTCAGAGGATCACTTGAGCCCAGGAGTTTGAGGTTGTAGTGAGCTAGGATGACAGAGTAAGACTGTCTCAAAAAAAGGAGTAGGGGATTAGAAAAGGGCAGCTAGGGTATCATTGGTCATTTTTCATATTTAACCATTTGTTAAATATGTCAGTCACATGCACCTGGCTGTGTTAAGTGAGACGTGTGTGTTGCACTACTGAACACGACCATGGCAGGAACTGGATGTGCAAGGAAGAGATCTGCCAAACCCATTCCAGCCAATTTCAGTGCATCTGATACTGAAGTATTTTAAAATGAAAAATCCAGGCCATGGCTCAGCACCTGTGACTCAAGTGGCTAAGGCGCCAGCCACATACACCTAAGGTGGTGGGTTTAAATCCAGCCCAGGCCCACCAAACAACAATGATGGCTGCAA